GGGGCCTCGGTGGCACCGCCAGCCTGCGCGGGAGGCAGGCGCGGGGCTGGAAGCTCGGGGGTCGCAGCTCTGGCGGCCGCGGCTCAACAAAGCGGGGGAAGCGAAGCCGAGCAATTCCAGTAACAATCGAAATTTATTTCACCCCCTAATTGATCGTTCACCGTGGAAGAAACTGGAAATCAAACGTCATCATGTTCTAGAAGGGTCACGCTCCCTCAAACAAAAATGTAACATCGTGCCGGGGCTGGACGCCGGCCGGACCCCGGAGCGCCGAGGGCAGCCCCTCCGCCCTCAGACGCGGGAGGCGCCGCGCCGGCGAGGGCTGCCGTCCAGCCACGACGTGGCAGACAGAATCCCAACGGAGTCTCTGCCCTCTGGCGCCCGGGAGCAGAAGCCAAGCACCGCCTCGTCCTCGGGCCTCACAGAGACGACTCGGGCTGGGCGCTGGGCATGTTCTGGATCTCGATCACCACGGCCGGGACGCTGTCCACCTTAGTCCTCCGAGACTTCCTCTCCAGCTGGTCGCTCAGTTCCAAGCAGGAGATGCTCACGGCCCGGGCCTTCTCCCCGCCCTGCTCGGCGGGCGCCGGAGGCAGCGTCCCGCAGCACTGCTTCAGCGCACACTGCGTCCTGCAGGCCAGCTCGCAGGGGGCCACGCCCGGCCCGGAGCCCACGCTGGCGAACTCGGGCTGGATGGTGGTGGCGTGGATGCCGTGGTTGTGGAACACGTCTTTGAGGGTCTTGGCCACCTGCATGTAGGACGCCGGGTCTTCGCACTTGATGTGGGCCGTGGCGATGATGCGGCTCCCGGCCAGCTGCCACACGTGCAGCTCGTGGACCTCGTCGACGCCGTCCACGGCGCGCAGCTCTTTGATGAGGTGTCTGATGTCGATCTGCTTCGGCACGGTCTGCAGCAGGATGAGCGCGGACTCCTTGAGCAGCGGGTACGTGGTGTAGAGCAGGATGCACACCATCACGAGGCAGAGCGTGGGGTCCAGGTACAGCACCCAGCAGGGGCCCGCCTCCCCAAGAGTCGCCTGGGTGCTGTTGACCATCTTGACAAAGGCCCTGCAGGGGTCGGGAGTGCAGGGGTTCACGCAGAACCCCACTTCAGGGCAGCCCTTCCAGGAAAAGTAGAAGACCAAGGCGTTCACGACGACGATCACCGAGCCCAGCGCATCCCCGAAAACGTGCAGGAAGACGCCTCGCATGTTCAGCTGGGCCGTCTTGTCGCCGTCGTCCAGGTCCACCTGGTCGGACTCTGTGAGAAGATTCCCGTTCACTTGCACCTCCACGGCCTCACTTCTGGCCTTTTCCGACTCTACAGAGGAAAGAAAGAGTCTGTGTGTCCGGCGGAATATTACTCAGCCGTCAAAAAGGTCAGCGCGTGCCTTTTGCGGCGACATGGGTGGAGCTGGAAGGGATCGTGCTGAGTGCCGTGAGCCAGAAGGAAAAGGAAACATGCTGGATGGTGTCACTCACAGCAGGAGTATAAAGGGCCGGGGGAGGGGAGGGAATAATAACAACGAACGGCTATAGACCAGAGACATCTTACAGGGGTGGAGTGGGGGGTGGGGTCAGAAACGGGGGTGGAGGGGTGCACTGGACTGTGGTGACGGCCCACGGGCGATCTGGTGGCGGGAAGCCCACGGGGATCGCAACTGAGATGGAAAAAGGCACAAAATGATGGAAAAATAAACTATCACATTAAAATTAAAAAGAAACACTCGCCGAGTCACACACACCCGAGTGCCGCGCGCCCAGGGTTGCCCTCCCCCGGTCAGTGCCCGAAGTCAGAGCTCCGTGAGAAACAAGGCGCCCCGGGGTACCCGCAGCCGGCGGACGCGGGCGGAAGACCCCGGAGCCCCGGTCACGAGGGCTGCGCGTGGGCCCCGACCCACAGCGGCCGGCGGGCGCCGGTCAGTCTCCCGCGCGGAGCCCGGAAGCGGACCGCGCAGTGTCCGCCGTCCCCCGCGGCGACTTCGGCAGTCCTGGGGCCCACGGTCACGCCTGCCTCGTGCGCCCTCCCACGCGCGCCCACTCGCCCGGCTTCGCCTTCTCCCGGCCGGGGACTGGCCAAACCTGCTCCGCTGCCCCTGGCACTTCCACACGGTGCCCCCTGCACCTCGCCGGACGTCAGCAGCGGGCGCAGGAGGAAGCCGGCCCGGGCGGGCCGCGGCTCCGTCCCCCAGCTCCTTCCTCCACACCCGCCCCCAGGCTCCGCCGGCCACCTGCGTTTCCCACCCGGCGGGAGCCCCCCCCGCCCCCCGCTGCTTCCGGGAGCCGAGGGGCGGGGCGCACCCAGTCCCGGGGCCGAGATTTCCAGGACCAGCTGGGGTGCTGCGGGCGTGGACACCCTGTGCCGGCCGGGTGCCCGGGCCGGAAGCTGGTGCCCGGGGCAGCAGCTGATCTCTGGCCCCTCCTTAGGGTCAGTCGGCCGCAACCTGGGACAGCGGGGGTGGGGTCACCCGGGCGGGACACTGGGGACAGGGCCAGCGGGGACGCTGGGGGGCGGGGGACAGTGGGGGTGAGCAGGCGAC